CGTATCTTTGAGAAAAAAATAATTTTATCTAAAAATTGTAGTGCTCCAAGTTTTGAGAGGTAATATATATTTATCACACACGTATTCGCGTATATATGTTTAAATAAACAATACATCAATCATTCTTTCTGGCGTCGATGAAAATTCGGCGCAACGACGTATAGAAAAGAGAAACAAAGTTGTGAGAATATCCCACATTTTCTATCTACGCACTGGTCTCGCTTCGCTTCGGATACCTGCTCTATCTGGCTCTCGTTATAGCGGCGGCAGTCGTGGCTCGAGAGAGGGGTCAGAGTCCGCTCTCTCGGAGGGCGACGGAATTGCGAAGGGGATCGCCGGAGGGGGCGAACGAGAGAGAGAGAGAGAGAGAAGAGGGACTGGAGGGTTGATCCGAGGGTGGTGGCGGCGGCGGCGACGATGCTGATCGTGACGGTGGCTTGCGATGGCGTTGGCGGTGCGCGATGCTAACGAACGGTTACCAGGGTCTTTGGATCACACACGCCGGATGACGTCACTCTCTGGCGTTACCAGGATACGAGGGATCGGAAGAAGACGCGGAACGATATCCAGATCTCCAAGCGATCAATCACGATTCGAAGTAACGACCCTTTACACATCTCGTGTAAGTGTTCTTTTCAATTCTATTGAAGAGAAATAAAAGAAATTTAGAGACGAGAAAAATAAAGGGAAAGTTGTGGGCCCTTATTATTCTGTTTCCTACCTGAATTTGTATTCATACATCCGAACCTTTTCGGGTTCTTTTTAGCAATGATTATCTCTTCCATATGAATTTTTCTGTTATATTTTCTCTAAACATGCAAATGTTCCAACCGCAGCTCTTTCAGATCACAAACAATCTTTAAAAATCTGAGTTTTCATCATTCAAAATTCTGTTTTTCTTTCAAACAAGACGCACATATATGTCTGCATCTTCTTCTTCATGGCTCGTGAAACGTCTATTTTCTTTAAATTATATCGTATTTAAAAATTTCTAAATTTCCCACAAAGCAAAATGTTTCTCAAGGCCAAGAAAAAGCTGCAATTTAAAATATTCTCTAACAAAGTCACGATTATAACGATTACCTGTGCGTGATTCTCGATTGTAAAAAATTTTTTCGCGCGAATAACTCGACTCGCGAAGGGACGCAGGGGATAAATGCAAATCTCCCGAAACGACTTGTTCATAATGAGACGACCAAACTCGGGGAGAGACGACTAAACTCGGCCGCTACAAGTGCGAGGCAACCACTCCGCCATGATGGTACCGTCACGAACATCCCTCGTGAGCGTGTCGCTCTGGCGTACGCAACACAAGCGAGAGAGAAAGATACACACATGTGTGTGGAAAAGAGCGACGCAGGATATACATATACATATACACACGTATAGGTATATGTTCGTGCGTGCGGTCAACAGAATTCTTCGTCGTCCCCTCTCAACATCTGGCTGCGGTCCTTCGCCCGAGGGACGAATTCATGGACAAAAGAAGACCTTCCCGTTTTCCTCTAATGTCCTTGCTGAGCTCGGATTTTCGAGAAGCGATCTCTTCGGCATTGACCGTCCGAACAGAAGTATACGAAATACGCTAAATACATAGGTAAAATCGAAATGATAAGCTTAGCGATATATCTGACTCCATAATATATGATCTTTATTATTATAGATTAAATAATAAATCTCTTCTCTCGGAGATGGTTCTAGCGGAAGACGCCTTTGTGCATAAGGAAGAAGGCATCGCTCGGAGATCCAGATGGACGCGTGTGCATAGGGTCGGGTGTCGGTATAATCGAGTCGAAGGGCTGGATGGAACGAGCCCTTCCAGCCGGTACCGGAGTGGTTGGTCTCCGACAGTGACTGCACATAACGACCCTAGCGGTACCGTTTCTATGGTACCGTTCGTGGGGATTATCGCCCCTCTCGCGTCGTCGCGGCCGCTCCACTTTCATCCGGCCGGCGCGGCTGCTGCTGCTGGCTGCTGCCGCCATCGCCGCTGCGGGGTGAGACCAGCCTTGGCCTGGGACCATGGAAACTGGATAGCCTTCCCGTGAAACACGCGCGCGCACACACACACATACATAGATATATATATGTATATATATTATTGGTCGATCGCGCGTATTATAATTATCCCGGGTCTCATACTATAACGGTTTCTGAGCCACTTGGAAAAATGTCACCTGATCTATCGACTTATCGATCAACGAATAAATCGCGCGTCGAATACGAAAGCTTTCTTCGTGTAGACCGTTCCGAGCGCAGGACGAATATAGTTACTCGCGAAGTTGATCATGTTTTTGTAGGAAAATTTATTTTTTTAGGAATTTATTTAAAACGTTTAATATGTGAGAAAAAAAGCGCAATGTGAGAAAAAAATAGAACGCAAATATAAATATTATTTTAATTTTGATTCACTGTAAAAACGTTAATAAATCTGTACATGATCCAATAGCAAAAGACAATGGTTTATGTTCAGAAAAAAAAGTTTATAGAAAATTGTTTTCAGATATAAAATATATAATATGATAATTTTAATTTATGTTGTATTTACAAACGACTGTCCACTCGATGACAGAAAATGAAGAATAATATCCAATACTATGAATAAAATTATGCTAATAAATGATTGTCTTTTGTAAATTGGTGAACAGTTCTGCTAATTGATATATTACAATAACAATCACGAATAAAAAATATGATAATCATGAAATAAATAATCATAATTTTTTTCATTTTTACACTTACATTGAATAAATGATTTAAATGATCATTGCTCTGAAGATGCATTAATTAATAAAGAAACCGTGTTCACGGCAAATTTCCGGAAATTGTTTACTGCAAGCGGCTCGATATTAACTTTTTAGCGATAACCGCGATACTAGTTATTTTTTTCCAATGTACGTATATATGTAAAGATCGAGGTAACGCTTTGATAGCGATAACATCATATATAGGCGCAGCACTGCTCAAGCGAGGTTACGCCTGGCGTCATCAAAGGCATATTGTCGTTTAACCTTCGTGTCATCGAAGTATTGATAACCGTGACTACAGCAATTGACAAAATTATATATTTGTGTTTCTCTCTTCCGTACGAACGACTTTTTTTAAGGATGCATTTTGTTAAAGAAGAAAATATTCCACGATATATGTTGAAAATAACAAACGTTCTCCAGCGTCACGCGGACAGATGGTATCGATAAAATGGTCAAGTAGTTAGCAAATTTTAACTTTTATACATGAATTATTTATGCACTTTCTTTCTTTTTAAATTTGCTAAATAGGTGTAATAATTATAGTAACAAAAAATTTTAAAAATATAAATATAGAATACTACAGATTAAAAGTTACTACATTACTAAAATGCTCATAATTGCAAATAATTATATATAATTTTCAAACTATACAGTTTCAAATTTAGTTATATAAGTTTTTATCTTTAATAAAAAAAAACATTAAAATACAAATTTAGATAGGAAACGGGCTAATAAGAATCAGAAGCAGAAATTAGGCGCAACAAACTTGTTTTAAAATTTTCTTTATTTAATTTGAATATTAGTGATTCTTCTTTGAATCATCTTTAGCAGATTGTGATTTAAAAAAAAAAAAAAAAAAAAAAAAAAGTGTTGATCAAATCATGAATTTCTTTATTAATCTGCCAAAAAAGAACCGATTCGTTCAAATTAAATAAAGAAAATTTTAAAATAAATTTGTTGTGTTGGTTCTTATTAGCACGTTTCCTACCTAATTTTGTATTTTTATTAGCTTTGCTGGTTCCTTTGAAAATGTTTTCTAAAGATTTAAAATCCAACACATGTTTGCTTTAAAATCGAACGGTATACAAGAATTCTCTTAAAAGAAAAAAGTTCTTTTAAAATAGTCAATAAAGAATTTACAATTATACTAAACATAAGATGACATGAAAGAAGATTCAATAGAAATATAATTATATTAAATATAGTTAGTTAAATAAATTAAATAATTCGTTCTACACTTCTATCACAAAATGCTTAAAACACTGCATTCGTATTCACATCAGTTTTATAAATCAATATACATCTACAGAGTTAGGTAATAAATAAAAAAAATTTTTTTCTTTTTTTTTTGACGTGGCTTAATATAGAAGAGTAGAACGTGTATGTGCGCGTGCTACAGCGGAGATATTTATGATGCAAACACGGAAAAATAAAGGACACTCTCTCGCAAGTAAGCGGAGGTTGAAGAAGGAGAGAGAGCACGCTGCAGAAATAGTCATCCTGTTATCGATATCACCGTTTACTTATCGTCCCATGGTCAATATTTCGCTCCCTCCGCCCTTTTTTTCTCTCGTCTTTGCCCTCGTCTCCCTCTTTATCCCGGTGTCGTTAGCGTGCGTTTGCGCGTCCGTCAATGTGCTCGCCACTTATCCCGGTTATATCAACCGATAACACCAATCTCGCCACCATCGCCAATGGTTACGAAGGTAAAAGGAGCTACGCAGAAATATCTTTCAGAGAACGCGAAGTGCATTGGTGCACCGCCGTGCATCGGGAAGAACGCATACGCTCCCGATGGCATTGAAATCGCGCAAATAGATTGGCAACTTCTCGTGGCATTTGGAAAAAATTGCGCACAACGAAGAGTTGAAAAAAAAATCAATATTTATAATCTTCTTGTTTCCTAGATGTTTAACAGATCATTTGAATGTCTAATGTTAAAAGAGGAAAACTTTTTTTGCAGAGAATTATGCAATTACCTCGCGATCATATCGCTAAACGTGTCTATCCTACCTATTTTTTTATTTAATTTGAGAGAGAAGAGAAGATGATTATATTTTTAAATTTGAAAGATAAGCAAGGACGATTAGAGAAGTGTGAGAATTATTATCGCAGAATAGTGTTTCATTTTTCATTACGCATGTTTGATGAGCGCATGTATAATGCGCGTGTATATACCATATAGTAGTTAATAATTAATAATTAAATAAGCACGATATTTTAGTAATAATATAAGTATATAGCACTCACCACTTGATGCTCTTTTTTATGATGTTGCTGACAATCTTTTGCGACTTTCTGGACGATATAACATGGACATCGTCAAGCTTCTGCAGTTTTCCTGTTTCCATAGTATCCTTCTCGTACATTTGTGATTGACATTCTTCAGCAACGTTGTTTTCCTCGTCGGCATTGATCTTCACCGAATTCTCGACCCATTCTACTATGTGATCTTTTTGATCGGCGGATAATGCAGAGTCACCTCTGAGCTCTTCCTCATTAATAAGCTCGCTGATAGTAGTTGGAGAACCAACAATTCCAATTTCCGATTTCTCTTCTGCTTTCATCGAGAAATTTTTTGAATCCTTTTCGCCTTCTGTACTTTTTGAAGTTGCGGAAGTAGTACATTTCTGCGAACTATCCACTGCATCATCTTCCGAAACAGTTTCTTCCTTTCTTACCGTCTGCCGCTCTTTTCCATTTTCATCTTCGTCGTTGTCTTTTACGGGAGTAGAAATCCTGGCAACTCTCTCAATCATTTGCAAATCTCCGTGTACAACTTTTAAGATCTCGTCTAGTCTTTCGTCTACATCGGAGCGACATTCTGTGACTTCTTCATTGCCAGATTTTGCCTCCGTAGAAGAAATTTCCTTGACATTTTCTTTGATTTCTGCTTCAATCTTTTCAGAAGAGACGTTTCCGGGATTAGTTTCCTCTTTAGAATCTCCGTTACAATCAGTTTTAAAAGAATTTTGTTCCTCTTTATCAAGCAAATCTGTGTCATTGGCAACTTTCTCATTTTGGTTATCTGCAGCTTCTTTAGATGTAGATGCTTTGTCAATATCTGCAAGTTCATCCTTCTCTTCATCAGAGGAAACTTTATTAGTTGCAGAAGTCGTTGGAGAAGTCTCAGACATATCGTTTTTATTAACTGAAAGTTTAGTGTCCTCTGTAGCGCTTTCTGCCATTATTATTGTAGATATTCCTAGAAATTAGTTTTCTAACATCTCAATCAATTTAGAGAATGCTCCCTCCTAGCATATTAGGAAGATCTATGTTGTTAGCATGGGCATGTTGCGTGGAGTGGAAGATATTCCTATATTTTTCACAGATTTTGCTTCCTGCGCTCTTTGTGGGGTTTGTTCCTGTAATAAAATAAAACATCTTTAAGAAACAGGAATCATAAAATATACATATTCAGATATTAAAATATAATATAAATTAAAAATAAATTAAAATATAATATAAATATATAAATATATATATATATCAATTTACTTGAAATTGAAAAGCTTGTAGTTTTATTATCATTTTGACTCTCAAAGTTTAGTTTATAAAAATCCTTTCTTGTGCAATTGTTTGTAATTCCAAAATTATTGGTGTTTGTTAAAAAATTTGACAGAAATAAATCAAAGAATTTACTGTTAAAAGAATATTCGATTTTAGAACACTTTCTCTAAATATATTCTCGAAATTATTTTTATATTATTACAATATAGAGTATCTCGCTTCGCAAATGACATTTTAATTGATTTCACGAGACTTTATATTCAGAATCATTTCAAGCAAACGAGTCTCTCTTTACCTGAATGAATTTAATATGACTATTTGATTCCGGTAACACAACCTCATCAATTATTAGCTTTTATTCTCTTTCACTTATATTTTATAGCCGTCCTTGAACGGACGACTAGAAAGATTTATGGAAGATGGGAGTTGTAAAAAGAAAAATTACAAACGCTCTTTCACTTGAATAATATCGATTGATTAAAAACAATTGATGATATAAAATGGAGAAGTACTATTTATTGCAAATAAAAAATTTAACAAATGATTCGTGAGAGAGACTGTTTTCATCGATAAATGAATTCCCTGCGTTATCGAGCCCAAGTTACGAGGTTAGGAAGTGTTGGAATATATTACACAAGACTTTTGACCGCAGTTTCACATAAATGTCGACATTATTTCTCTCGTACACAATACTAACCGCATACGAGTTTCTCAAGAGAGACATTCGACTGCGTAACACACATAACAATTATCACGCAATGTCACATTTTACGACCCAATATGAAAAAAAAAAAAAAAAAAAAGAGTCAAACACAAAGCTTCAGTACGTGTGGATCGTCATTGAAAATTTTCACCCAAATTCCGATCGAGCCGGGAATGTCCGACTTTTTGCGCAGAACGAAGGTTGTCGCACAATAGGCTTTTTCCGCGTCGCGATGTTTATTCGAAAAAGACGACAGTCCGTCTCCGAAAATACTCACTCGAGACTTGTCACAGCCGCTTTTGCGTATTTCATTCCGATCTAAGCGCTTTCTCGAATCATTCGGACGCTCCCTTTCAGCGGAATTTCTACAAACGGCTCAATCGTCGAAGTTCAATAAACGAGGCTGAAAAACCTTATCGAGTACTCCCTCGATCGTTGCGGGAGGCAAAAACGTCCGAGGGACGGGCGCGCGCACCTAACCTCAATCCCTTCTAATTCGACCGGCGTCCGGCTTGGGAGATCCTCGCGACGCGGCGAAACGTCAGATAATGCCGAGAAATGTCAAATGAGTACAGCGCGAAGAGGGGTTGGAGAAAAATAGGTTTCGCGCAAATCCTTGTTACGTACCTCGCTTCACGCAGCCGGGTGCTCCGGAAATTCGTCGGGAGCTCCGCGAGAGCGTAGCCGTCTGGCCTGACGTCGGCCGCGTTACAGCCGTTCCGTGGGACGATGACGGACGAATAGCGGCGAAATTCGCGTCGGACAGGAGACGCGGCGCGATCGCGGCGAAACGAGCGGGAGAAACGGGCGAGGATCTCCTCCCGTGGAAGGATGAATTCTCCGGGAAATACGAGAGCACGTATTTATGAATCAACGCGAGAGCGGTGTGTGCCGAGGCTGCTGACCTCACTGAAATTTAGCCATATTGAAATGCGCAGTGCCGCGGCGCGAGAGAGATAGCTCGCCAAGTAGCGCCGTCTCTCTCGCTCTTCTCCTCTCTCTCTCTCTCTATATATATATATATATATATATATTCGATAGAATGTGTCCCACTTGCCGCTCGCAGCGCTCGCGAGTATGTTTGTCTCTGTTTAGCTTTAGGATAATAAGGACGAAATTATCTCGTGAAAAGATTGCGAACGTCAAGTGGAACGTGTTTTAAGCAGGGTTGTGGGTAATAACTAGTTAAAAATGTTAAAAGTTAATAACTTTGAACTTAGCTTAGTTAATTTAAAATGTATTAATTTTGAACTTCTACTATAGTTATTTTTTTATCTCTATGAATACCATTATTGGTGTTTTATAAATGTATTATTTTTAAATTAAAGTATTATTAATTTTTTGTCACAAATTGTAATTACTAAAAAATATATTTTAAAAGAATGAACAAACAAAATTCTAATTTAGTATAAATAATATTTTTAAAGAGTAAGTTTTGATTTAACTTCAGTTAATTTAATCTTAGCTTTTTGTTCATAAAAACTTTTCACTTAACTAAATTAATTTTGTAAGCAACCAACTTTAACATAATTTAATTTTCAAAAATCATTAACTTACCCAACCCTGGTTTTAAGAAAGTTCATTTTTTTTTGTTTTATATAGAAACAGAGAACATATATATCTTATTAATATAATTAATCAGATTTATATATTGAATATAAGTATAATTTCGAGTTCTCCGATTTTGCTGAAATTTTTATCTTATTTTTGTGCGTATAAAACATCTGTAATTAAAATTGTCATTTTCAAATAGGAAAAAAATTGAAGTGGAGGAAACAAATTTTAATCAATATATGAATAAAATGTAATAAATATAATTCGACTTACATTTCGATTATATTCTTCGATCTCGGCGTACTCCGGTTTTTTCTTGGAGGAAACCAACCTTGGAAATTGTCCTCGAAGGAGCTCCAGAACACTATTTGCACTCGCGTTACTTTTTTTCGTTGCGACGAGCGGCGACGCCCGAATTTTAGCCTTCACATTTTCGACGCGTTTCGGTAAAACGCGAGAATCGCGAGAGCTTTTATTCGCGCGCGAACAAGACCGATGCTCCTTTTTTCGCGACGCCGCTTTTTTCATGGTTTGCTTAATTATTACAGGACCTTTTATTTCAGATTTGGTCACTTATACACTTTAATTCACTATATTCTATATTTATATTTCACTGAATATTTTGTATTTCACTTAACACACTTTATCTTTCACTGAATACTTGACGACGGAAAAATCGCGCAGATAGAGGTTCGCCGATTATTTTTATTATTTGACGACGTCGTAATTTTATCACTTCGGAGAAAAAATTGTTGGCCGAATTTCGAGGACAAACTGTCGCGCGCGATATCTCCGAACAATTTTGAGTATCGAAACTCCGCGGATAGATAAAGATCGTAAACGGCTGTCACGATCACGAATTCCGAGAATCAGCTGAGCAGAGGCGCGAAACGCGATTCCAGGAATCGGCTCCTCGAGCAAATTTCCAGAATCGCCGATGCTTCACGAAAAACAAAAAAAGGAGAGCATTTTCCGAACTCCGTATATATACACTCATCGCGATCGTCGCGTATTTCGATAATACACGATTATAATCTAACACGTTTTTATTAAATAAATAATAATTAATAAAATTAAATATTAAAAAAAATATAAAAAAATATAAAAAAAAATTAAATTAAATATTTTCGTCTGGACTCCGGTTTTGGTCGAGAAAACGTAGAGAAACGAAAAAATGGCAATATGGCGACGCGACCTTGTCGTTGTCGATCCGAGATTTTTGCGAGCTAGAATCACGAGTTAATTCGTCGCGTAACGATACTTGGACACGATGCTCCGGAAGTACGACCGGAAACGCGCGATCGCCCGCTTAGAACGCGATCGACAACGCCGAAAGAGCCGGAAAATTCTCGCGTCGAAGGCTCCCAAAAATTCGCCCGATCCTTCCACGGTAAGTCAAGCGCGCCAACTTCACTGATCTTCACGACTCGACTTGAGACGCCGCTGATGACGAGGCGAAGTTGAGCGAGATTCGCGATCGAGATGAAGAATCTCGCCCGTGCGATCGCGATCACGACGTCGAGACAAACGACGCGATCGAATTTATACGGTAATTAACGACCTAAACACGCTAATTAATACTTACACTCGTATACTTTCGCGAACCGGACCGGCAATGAACGGTTGAAATTGACCGCGAACAAGTCGAAAGTACATAGAGGGCAGCAGTAGATTAGAAGGAGTGGGTTCGGAAATGTAGTCCCTAGCGGGAGCTCTCAATCGACCAATCAGGACGAAGGATTCTCGCTCTCCGATTGGTCGCTCAAGTTTTCCATCGACCAATCAAAGAGTGAGAATCTCTTCGTCCTATAGGCCTTTTCTGTAATTTTTAACGCTTGCGTTATAATTATAACGCATGATTTACTAGGTTTGGACCTATGAAATTGTACACTTTCTAGTAAATCATGCGTTATAATTATAGATCTGGGTATCGATTTTGGATATCGATTCTGTAACTTTCTAAAGTGAAAACGTGAAAAGTTAAAAATTTCCGCTAATCACGCATTGATTTTAAAATGAAATCGATGTGCGATTGACGGCAATTTTTCACTTTTCACGTTTTCACTTTAGAAAAAGTTACAGAATCGATACCCTGTAAATTTTTAAAGTAAAAACGTGAAAAATGAAAAATTTCCGCCAATCACGCATTGATTTTTAAATGAAATCGATGTGCGGTTGACGGCAATTTTTCACTTTTCACGTTTTCACTTTAGAAAAAGTTACAGAATCAATACCCTGCTGATTGGTCGATCGAGAGCTCCCGCTAGGGGACTGCATTTCTAAACCCACTTCTTCTAATCTGCTGCTGCCCTCTATGTACTTTCGACTTGTTCGCGGTCACTTTCAACCGTTCATTGCCGGTCCGGTTCGCGAAAGTATACGAGTGTAAGTATTTTTTAGCGTGTTTAGGTCGTTAATTACCATATAAATTCGATCGCGTCGTTTGTCTCGACATCGTGATCGCGATCGCACGAGCGAGATTCTTCATCTCGATCGCGAATCTCGCTCAACTTCGCCTCGTCATCAGCGGCGTCTCAAGTCGAGTCGTGAAGATCAGTGAAGTTGGCGCGCTTGACTTACCGTGGAAGGATCGGGCGAATTTTTGGGAGCCTTCGACGCGAGAATTTTCCGGCTTTTTCGGCGTTGTCGATCGCGTTCTAAGCGGGCGTTCGCGCGTTTCCGGTCGTACTTCCGGAGCATCGTGTCCAAGTATCGTTACGCGACGAATTAACTCGTGATTCTAGCTCGCAAAAATCTCGGATCGACAACGACAAGGTCGCGCCGCCATATTTGCTATATTTTGTTATACTCCGCGATTTCTTCATAGTCAGGGAAATATATATTGTGAAGTGTGTAGTGGCCAATTCGGGAATATCGGCAACTTCAGAGTGCGTCGCGGGGAAGTTGCCATTGTCGTTCGATGAGGCCCCTCGATAAGAGGCCTCGAAAAAAGCGGCGACGCCGAAAAAGGAGCGTCGGTCTTGTTCGTGCGCGAATAAGCTCTCGCGATTCTCGCGTTTTGCCGAAACGCGTCGAAAATGTGATAGTTGTTAAAGCTCGGACGTCGCCGCTCGTCGCGAACGAAAAAGTAACCTAACGCGAGTGCAAGTGTTTCGTAATTTCTTCTACGAAGAGGAAGATGGCGATATCGAACTAAAATGGTGAATAACTTATTTTATTATTTGTTTTATTTATACTATTTTATTTATACTGTTTATTTATATTATTTGTACTATTATTATTATTCTTTATTTAAATTTAATTAACTTTATTTTTTGAAATATATGAATTATTCAAAATCTTACTATATATATATACATAATTTCGATTTATATTTTACAATTTACAGTTTACACAAGGAAACACAAGGATAAACGGAGAAAAAAAGAGAAAGGAGGCCCAGAGTGACATCGGGCACCGGCGGAGCAACTTTACGGTAAATAATTTATTTTTTTATTTATTTTATTATTACTATTATTTATTTTATTGTACTATTATTTTGTAATATATATGTTGTAATAATTTTATTTTTTAAATTAAAAAAAATGATATTTTAAATATTAAAAAAATTTTAATTATTTAAAATTTTTACGATTTTACTAAATTTCATGTATTTATATTTTACAGTTTCCGCTGCTGCGCATCGTATCGGTGAGTCTCATCAAATGTTGCTTAAATTTTGGACAATAATTTGATGAAAATCATATATGAGAGAGAGGGATGTGCATCGCAAATAGATGAGATTGCAGGTCTTGAAGAAAAATGAGGAAATATTAATATAAGAAATAATAATATTAATATCGGTTTTATTCACGCGCAAATAAGCTGTTGCATAAAAATGCAATTGGTGGAATTTTGCGATATCTCGGGAGATGAGGAGGGAGAGATAATTTATAGAAGAGACACAATTCTGTAGTGTTCTTGTATATTTACAGATTATTCGTAATTCATAGTCAATAGTAATCATATATATATAATATGTATATATCAACAAAATAATATTTTAGTCATTCTTACGTCGCTAATAAAATCTAGAAGCTAAACAGTCACAGGGTCTCGATCATCTAAAGAGTTGGTGGCTTCTGCCAAGCCGCAAATTGTCATGCACATATTTTGCGCTGTCTACCTAACAATAAATAAACAAACAAATACAAATCTATACATTCCCGCGCGCATTAATGATGGTTAATGATGAGAATATTATAAATGTTGTGTGCCATGATACGGTCGTAGATAACGAATTGATCATTTCGCCGATTCTTTGACATTTCGTAGATCGAGGAACTGAGTTGCGGACAATAATAATTATTTTAGCACCATTTAAATTCGAAGAAGTAACGAAATGCATTATTAGATCGATTTTGACTGTAAGAGAGAAAGTATTTATATTTTTAAAAATTATAAATGTATATTTTGTTAGGAATGCTTAAAAAGATATTCTATCTCTTTTTCTCTCTCTCTCTCTTTTTCTCTTACATTAAAAATTATTACATATCTAAGGCATAAAATATTTTTAGCCTCTCACATTATTATCGCATGTACATTTATTTATTTATTTATGCATTTATAATTGGCTTTTTCTATACAAGTTGGCCTTGACTTCAGATTTTTGCTATTATAATACTTCCTTTCGAATCGGAATGAGGTGAAGGATTAATTATGATATCAATTGCGCGTATTCGAAATACATGGATTTTTTTTTTAAATCTTGCTGATAATCTCGTGCATAACAGCGTCTGTATATCGTCTTACCGATGGCGAAATGAGGACAGAACAGTCGTTGTCTTTATTTTTGCCGCGGCGTAACGTGTGCCACGTGATCCGTCATCGTCGTATGAATGCGTCGTAGGTGTGTGCATGTTAAAACTGCGGTTTCTCTAACGAGGTCGGCGCGGATACCGCTAATAATCGCGTGCGTTTCCGTCGGAATTGAAACGGCCGAGATGCATCGTTTCGGACGATCGTCGCTTCGTTATCTACGACTGTAAACGACTGCAAATCGGACACCAAATATGCATCATCTCCATATCGCTAACCACGTTATAATTGTATATATTATCCGGGATATCAATTAATACATCGCGATAGCTCCGCGTTAATCTGGCACTATAATATTAAATTCCATGTTTATTTGTGATCTTATAAAAATTCAATACTTTGAAAATCTATTTTTTGCAGTACATTTTTCAGCAATTAATTATCAATTCAAATATTAATTTTGCTATCTTCATTTTTTGTTTTACGATTCGTTTTTTTTTTTGCTAATGATAAATGAGATATTAGCATAAGTCAGCATCCTTATTTTTAATATCAATTTGGCGCTGATTGGTAGAAACAATAAATTATAATAAAAATTATTAGCAATAAATTGACATTTGATTATATTTGAATTTGATTTCTCTGGGCAAAATGCTAAATGAACGAAAGTATTCGCGATAATTAATTCGTTTTCTTTTAATATCTAACTGCAGGTATAACACAAATAAAATAAAGGTTTGATTAATTCGATGCAATCGCCGATACCCAATTATTTGCTCATTTAATTGAATGGTCATTCTCTGATTATATAACTCTAGCTACGATATAGTCGGAGAAATGGAATTCTGTGGCTCCATGATTTACGCGTCATGTATCATCCTATATTTCGTATTATATTTCAATAAAACAGAATAATTTTCAGAAACGAAATTTGCTTGGAATTATAAAATTAAAATTGTCTTTAAAGCAATTTTTATGATCAAATTATAAAGAAAAAAGAATTTAACATACTTATTCGTATATTATTATATTAAACATATTACCGTTTAATAAAAAGAAAATATATTTACATCATTTTTTAAGAAGCAGAAAATATAGTATTAAATGTGCCAGTATATAACTTTATACTTCATACTTCTCTACTTTATGTTCCATTTTATCTTTTGGAATTTTCACAAACTTTTTCACGTTTTAACACATGCGTTATAAATTAATCTACTTAAAAAAAAACTCACAATCTCGTGGGATACACGGTTCATGGGACTAGAGAATTTACTTGACCAATGTCCATATCTGTGAACGACTCGCATAAATTCCCGCATGAGAATTGCTGCTAATCACTGCAATGAATTCCTTTCGACATAGTCAAGTGTCTGATTTCGACTCCGATAATAATAATAATCGATATCGCGCACGACGACGAGATGTCTCGCACGAAAAATTAGCTACCATATAGCTAAATATTGGCTGTCCCTATATTACGTCTGAAATTTAGTTATCATGCCTAAATTTTAGCTATGGTAACTAATATTTTTAGCTATAGTTAAACGGAGAATTTTATAGCTAAAAAATATTATAACTATCATTGCTGACTGAATTTCATATGTAATATAAGAACAGCTAAAGTTTAGCTTTAGTAGCTAATTTTTTCCGTGTGTGTATTCGTGCCTGTCGATATATTATATGCTGAATTTGAATATACGTTGTCACTTTTTTGGAGCACGCGCGCGTGAACATCGCGTATACAAAGGATCTTTTCTCTACCTAAATGGACTATCTACACGCTTTTGTCGTGGACCTCGAGGGGATTTCCTCGCCATTCTTTGCGTTCCCAAATTCGTTTTTTTTTTAACTACCAAATAGCACCTATATTTTCGTCACGCTATGCAATTTATTTTGCGTCGTTTTATTTTTTTTTTATGCGGTTCAATCCTTTGCGTCCTTCCTAAACTTGTTATATAACATGTAACACAGAGAGAACTGTACATTCGCGTGTTTCCAACCGAAGAAAAATTTGATAGACAATGGTTTATGGAAAAATTATTTCAACATTTTCGACAAATCGTATGGTATACTGAGAAAAATGTATTGATTTCGAGTAAGTATTTATTTCATTACTGTTTAATAAATCATTTATTTGAAACTAATAATATTGATTTAAAATATTTGATATAAGAAAATCCTTTTCAAAGCAGATAAATATTTATTTGTTTCAAATAAATGATTTATTAGGCAGTATTGAAATAAATATTATTTTAATAATTTTTTAGTATATATAACTGTAACTTATTTGTCGAATAGCAAAGGATGAATGCGCTCATTTTCACCAGCCGAATTTACACCAACAACATACAGAACCTTTTTTATCCTATAATGACTTTCATTTTATGATGCAAGCAATTAGATAAGGATTGGACGATAAATATAGCTGGGATATGAAAGCGTGATTATTTTTGAAATGACATTTCTCTGTGATATACGATTGTGTCTCCGGAGGTTTTCCGGTGCTCGACGGAAATAGCTGTACACACGTATACACACATATAATACGAACGATAAGTGAGCCAAATAACCGTAATCAATTTGATGCTCTTTAATTATCTGTATTATTTTCTAACCGGAACAAACTGGACAAAATGAATTAGAAAAATTGTTTTCAATATTGCCAATTAGTATCGTGCGCGATACTACACGTAAGAACGATAAGACAAAAAGAAAATGTAAACGCAAGTTATAAATTCAGTCGACATATACACACTTATAATTTGCTCATAAAATCATAAATTTTATTCAACTAACGTGCGTAGAACATTTAGATTTATAACTATAAGTAAACATTGATTGAAAGCAATTAAGACTCTTTTTATGAGTGCGTTATCGCGAGACAATCTAAAGCGAAGAAGCTGTTTGTAATTCGAATTGCGAGCAGACGAGAATGAAAAGAAACGCACCAATTGATTAGGCTAATTAGAAAATAAATAAATTAATAAACTAATTAATATTAATAAATTAATAAACTATTAAAATTAATTAATTAACTTGAATCTAACGGTAGAATTATTTAGGAAAGCGCGCGGTGTTTTGTAAAATCGAAATTTAAATAACTCAGTGTGCACAACGAGAATTTATGATAGAATTAAAATGCGTAGTATTGAAGCTCGAGAAGATCTAAACGCATCATAGTTAATTGCGCAGATGAAAACCTATTACATGCTGCTCGTGTAAACTCGGCTCGGCAAGTCACGGATATAAATATTTGATATTCGTGACGCACTAATTTCTATTTCGCTGGGATCGGGAGATTGGTTTACGATCGCCGTGACGACGCTGCGAGTAAAAGTGAAGAAAAAAAAAATATATATAGCGCCAATATATAACGTTAAATCGATAACTAACTGCATAAAATAACAAGGGCACGATAACAAATAAAAAAAATCTCATCGCATTGTACAATACAAAAAAGCGAATATAAAACTTTATATTCACAAAAGAATTGTATTTCTCTCTAATAAAAATTCAACATGTATTGCATTACGCATTTCTTATAGAGATTTTTTACATTCTAGGATTTTTCTAATTCTAATTAAAGTAAGAATAAAATTATCGATGTGATCTCTCTGTTTATTCGCAAACAATTTTGTTTTTACAATTTGTATCTAAATAATTAGTAACAAACTAGCGAACGGTTTTTCTTCGCTTTCTACTTACAATTAAATTAAAAACAGATAACGTGTATGAAACGTAGAAGCCTCATCACGGCGTTCGCGTGTCATTGCACTTGTGTCAAGGGTCTCTACAAAGTTGTGACGATGAAAAATCGCGCAGTTTATGTCGTTGAAGCAGTGGTGTAGTCTTTACAAAACATTACATCGACGAGTCCACGCGAAAATTTTTTTCTTTTCGCTGTAACTCGCCATGCAAATTAACCGCGTATCAAAGTTCTGATCTACGACGGATTCTCATTATGAAGTAAGTTATACTTGCGTAATTTTGCGCAATTGTACGTTCACGTGTACATTATTATTATAATAATATTATTATTATTTTTATATAATAGTGACTGGTCCTATTATGACTTGGCATTGGTTCTGCATAGATATGAGAGAGAATATTCGTCTTGTCAGTACAAAAAGTTTAACAAAAAAATATATATTTTCAACTCGAACTCTCGCTAAGAAGTTATTTGTGGAGCTCTTCCGTCAAAATACGTTTAATTCTAATCTCTACTCTACTAACCGATTATCATCTACATTCGCATATGATTTTATCACATGATTTACGCTTTTACCACAATTTACGAATGTTTATCGAGTGTGTATTAAGATTGCATGTCGTAATTAATCTTTTAACACACCGTCAGTCTCTTTCGCCTTTTATCTCATTTTTACTTTCGGATATATAAACAACTTTTATCATAATTTTAGATAATCCATATATATGTATATAAATAAAACACACGATAAAGATATCTTCATACATACAATATAAAATAATTTAAAATATTTTTTTAATATAAATTTCAATTTTCATATTATCATGTTGCATCTCTTGAAGAAAATTATTTAACGACTATGCGGGAATATGTATAATAATAACGACCGACTAACAGCGGGTTAAAGAAAAGTACGAACGGAATCGAGTCGACGCCGCTTCGACTACACCACCGCGAGGAGAAGAGGATACGCTTGAACGGGTATCCTGCGGCGGATATAATTCCGCGAAGGTTCTCGCCGATCGACGTTTCTTCGTCCGCATATCTCCGCATATCTCGCTCGTGGAACGGCCTCGGCAATAAGTAGCCGAAACCGCGTAAGAAGTTGCGTCGCGGTGTTTCTCGTCCATCGCGGTTCCTTTCTCCGCGTGCGCCATTCAGGATCGCTGGACTCGCGGTCAGGGTCAAGGTCACGGTGGTCAGGAGGCGAGAGTGGTCCTGTGCCAGGAAGAGTGTTGCTGCTGTTGCGGCGGCGGCAGCTGTTGCTGCTGCTGCTGCTGCTGCTGCTGCCTCTTCTGGCTGCAAAAACGAAAAACATCATTATTCGGGTTACGAAAGTTATATTCATTAATTTTTTTTTTTTTTTAAACTTCTATATTTTTAAAATGATAATTATAAATTAATATAATTATTCATATTTATATAAAATTATAAACTCAACAAAATGGACAAATACTGAAATGTATGAAAAGATATATAAGAATATATATTACATTATCGTTCAAAGATTTCGAACGTATAATTTTTAGATACAATTAATTATTACCGATATTTATTTATATAAAACGTTAAATAAATATCAGCATGTTAATAATTTTTAATCTAAAAATTATGATATTCATCCTAATCTTCGAGCAAGGTATATAGTATAATAAAAAATACAAAATTTTATATCTAGAGCGATGGAATAAGAGAAACGAGTGGTCTCTTTTAATATACATAACTCTTAATATATAAACAGTTCATCTAGTTCCTAACAGCTACGATTATTATAACAGGATACGATAAGGGATATACCTATAAGATATCGTCTTCCTTATATACATACACGTGCGCATTTTGTTTCTTTATGAAATCAGTTACGAGAGAGATCCCGAATGTGCGACGTGGAATTATGCGCATATTTTTGCAAGGTTTGATATTCGCGAGGATAACGCGGATACGTACGTAGGTACATACGTACACGAACATTGATGGAAGAAGCGCAGAAAGAATTCTTACGGCGATGATGTGCCGAGCAGACGCGTCATCGCGTCGTGTCTCTCGATCAATCTCTCGGCATAATGTAAAATCGACACGTGCGCGCCATGAAAATAACACCTTCGTTGAATCGTCATCTAAACCGCATTCGCGTCACGGCGTCCACGTAAGCGAGATTACGAGGTTGAATTGTAATTACATCGGAATGCAAATTTCGCGCCGCGGTCCAGATTCGGCTCGCAATTATCCGACCGTGCAATTTCGAGATCCAGATCTGTATTTTTGTTGGCGATGCGAATATGTATCGAATTGTAACGACGGGTATAAGGGAAGCTTAAATTAGAAATAGCATTCTCTTTTTGGCAGTAGTTCGAATTGTTCACGAGACCCGTGATCTATATAGGTATTTTATAAATAAAATTATTTCTATATACATATCATTTGAAGCTTAATTTTCTAAAATTTATCTTCTTTCTTTTGCAATAAGTTATATATATATATATATATATATTATTTATTTAATTTTATATAATATTTATTAAAATTTATTTATTTATATAATATCTACCACAATAAGTAAGATATAAAATATGTTCGATTAATGTTACTATATATATAGTAAAATTTATCATGTGTACGTATTAATATTTTTTATTGTGGTAAATATTAATCAGAGAAACTCTTATAAAATTCTTCCAATACTATACTTTTATTGTCCCACGATTACCATAATTTTAAGAATAAATTCTAAGAGAAAATTCTCTCCGTGTATTTTATAATATATATATTATTTTTTAAAATTAAATATATATAGAAATACATAAAATTATAAATAAATATACATATATTTACGTATTTATAATCTTTTATATATTATAATCTATATAATTAACCTCTATCATATATTATAAAATATATAATTATCTATATATATCTGTAAATGTATATTTATTTATATTATATCTTATAATCTATACGATTTCTAATACCTCATTTCTCATGCTGTCTATGCAATTTATATTCGTTGGAAACTGGAAACGCGTATCGCTACAACTTAAGAAATTTTCTGTCCGATTGTATAATTTTCCTAAAACGGCTAATTAGCATAGCAATTCCTATAATCATTTTGTACAGTTTTAAGAAATTGGTTTTGAAGATCGCATATTTCTCGTGGAATGAAATTTTCTTCAAATTGCTATTTCAATATAAAATTGCATCGTGATTCTTCGGCTCTGGCGTATCTCTTCGGGGGCGGTGCACCGTTATTTGCGTGCACACGCGTCGGAGGATCAATTAGGACGCGCCGCTTAATTGAGAGCGCTTTTCCTACATCGTAATGCAACATCGTGGGCAAGGGTAATCGGGACAATTACTGGCACGCGATTTCGATGCTGAAAGTCCCGGGCCGCATATGGCGCATTCTCACGGAGCGAGCAAAGTATACACGAAAGAAATACACATTTCGGCTGGAGTGCGGCTCGAAAGAGATAAGAGAGACTTTTCACCTTTCGTTAACAATAGAAGAGAGATATGTTACACAGATATATTAGATATATATTATACATGCGTAAAGACGCAACGCTTTATTTCCGAAACACCAGCAGGGTGTCTACTGGTTAGGGAAATTTGGAAAACCGGGCATTGTCAGAGAATTTTATAATCTGGAATTGTCAGGAAAAAAGTCAGGGAATTTTATTATTTATCTGGATTTTTTCACATTATTTTATATTTGTCTCAATAATGTGACATTTTTTATTAACTAAATATAAATTTTACCTTGACTATCCCAGCACGCTAATTTTCTGTGTTATTAAAAATCGATTTATCTACAGCGTGTTCGTTAATTTATATTTTCATCGTCGTGTTATTTTATTTCAATGTGTTTAATAGAGATAAAACTGAAAAATTTGATACAATATAAATAAAAAAGGTGATTATTTAAATAGTTTATGGTGACATGTTTGTTTCGATTTCGTATATAATGCAGATTGTATAATTGATTTAAATTTTTGTTTTTTTAACTTCCAAACCTTTCATTGTTAACAAAAATATCTCAAGGATTTCATGATTTAACTTCATGATTAAATATCTCAACATTTAACTGATTTATCATATAAATATATGCAAATTATATATTTGGAAAAAATAATACTAAAAAGTCAGGGAAAAAATTAATTTCTGGTCAGATTGGAAAATCTGGAAAAGTCAGGGAATTTTTTTCACTGTTGGACACCCTGATGTTACACAGATATTATATATATATAAACTATTTAAATAATCATCTTTTTTATTTATATATATAATATCTGTGTAACATCAGAGTATCCAGCAGTGAAACAAATTTCCTGATTTTTTCAGATTTTCCAAGACCAGAAATTAATTTTTTCTCTGACTTTTTATTATTTTTTCCAAATATATAATATAATATATATATATATATATATATATATAGAGCGTTGCGTCTATACGCATGTATTTTATATATATATATAAAATGCATGCGTATAGACGCAACGCTCTATTTCCGCAACATCGCTGAGTCTCTTCTCATCATTCGATGAGAAAAATAATTTGCGGCCTCTTTATAATGATCGTTTTTGCCGTTCCATGACAAATAATGCACGATTTTGCCGTAATAATAACATTCCCCAGAGATAGGTAATCTACGTTGCCATTTCGGAGTACCGTTCCCCCGAACAATGTCACGTCGAGATTAGCTTGATGCGTCTCCCTCTTCTTCTTCATCTCTCTCTCTTTTCTTCTTCATTTTTCCATATTCTTTTTGAGGGTGGGATTTACGATTTGCGTAAAGTATACACGCTGCGCGGCAAGAACGGGTTAATGCTCGGGATTTGCGGCTTATCGTAATTAACGGTTACGCCGACGCGGTTGTTTAATAATCCTGGCGAATTAAACGCTACCTAGACAGAGAGATATAGCTGGAAAACGAACGATTTGAATTGTTTTTCTCCCTACGCGAATGAATATGAAACTTTTTTGTCTGACTCGCACCAACGACTTTTCCTCGTATAACGAGACAAGGACAATATGTATATGTACCTCCTCGCGTTCAACGACGATAATCTATCCATGCTCGCTCGCCGCGATTTGAAATATAGATGGTCGAGTTTCAGAGGCGCCGTAGACGCTCGTCTCGTGACTCTCTTTCTCTATAGAACGAGTACACCGATCGACATGAAATATGAATTCCCGATCGAAGCCGCTCTAGAACTCCTCGAACTTTATGTTCATCGTGGGCGGGAGGACTCTTTCTATCTTTCTTTCTCTTTCTTTTTCGATCATTACATCAATCCAGGGAAATCTGGAAAACCGGGCGTTGTCAGGAAATTTTATAAATCTGGAAGTCAGGGAAAAGCCAGGAAATTTTACTATTTATCTATGTATAGCATTTTTTTTACATTATATTCTACATTTGTCTCAATAATTTGAAATTTTTTATTAAATAAATATAAACTTTTCCTTGACTCCCAGCACGCTAATTTTCTGCGTGTTGTTAAAAATCGATTCATCTACAGCGTATTCGTTAATTTATATTTTCATCGTCGTGTTATTTTATTTCAATATGTTCGATACAAACAAAACTATAAAAAAATTGATATAATATAAATAAAAAAGGTGATTATTTAAATAGTTTATAGTGACATGTTTGTTTCGATTATCATACATAATGTAAATTGTGTAATTGATTTAAATTTTCGTTTTTTTTTTAACTTTCGAACCTTTTCATTATTGACAAAAATATCTCAAGAATTTCATGATTTAACATTTAATTGATTTATCATGTAGATATATGCAAATTATATATTTGGAAAAAATAATACTAAAAGTATTATAACAGGGAAAAAAATAATTTCTGGGTTTGGAAAATCTGAAAAAACTCAGACAATTTTTTTTATTGAGTCTGCTGGACACCCTGTTTTTCTCTCTCGATCATTGTATAGAATGAGTAACGCACGCAAATAGGGGTGAATGAGTTTGGTATCGACGTGGCTCAATTATTATTATCGCGTATGAGTACTTGAAAACGTCGTCGTGTTCGCGTCGGATGCTCTTCTTCGTGTACGAAATAAAATTTATTATTATTCATCCAAAACGTCTCGCGCGAGAAATCTTGAGCGCTTCTTTTCTTTTTTTTTCTCTTCACGATAAAGCAGGCAACACACGATTGTCTATGTTGATTATAGTCTGTTTTTTGTCTCCGTAAATTACGGTTCTCCGTGTAACGTATCGATCCCGTACTGTTCCGTTCGTTCTGATATATATATATTTATGTGTGTATACATATATATGTAGACAAT